ACAACCGCTAATACATTGATATTCATCCTTTCTCACTTGAATAATACGATAATGGGCATTGTCTACCACATAGAGAAAACCATCACCATCAAGTATCACATCCGTTGGATGCTCCAATACCAAATTATTTGGAGTTTTATTTCCAGCTACTGTTGTTCCATTCAATTCTCCTCTTCGAAAAAATTGAATTCTATGGTTATGAGCATCAGCTACGTACAAATTAAAATTAACATCAACAAATATTCCCCAAGGGCCTTTAAGTTGATATAATTCTGATCCTGAGGAATTCGTTCCTGCTACTATGGTTATCGTATGATGATCACTATCCAATAATACCTTTACTACACGGTGTTCAGAATTAATGGAGCAATATAGAGAATTTCGAATATCCACAAAGAGGCCAAAACAGTTTCCAGAAAAATTTGCGACAAATTTGCTTCTTGTTGAATTTGATGTAAACTTCTCGATTCGACCTGTTCTGTTGCCATTGTCAAAATAAATATCACCATTTAATGTCACAAATAAACTTGTGTACAGGTATAACCAATCAGTTGATTTTGGTTGGAGATTGATACTCTGGTTAGACCATATAAGAATTTTATTTATGGAGAAATCAGATGCATAGATAGTGTCATTCAAATCAATAAAAATACCAAGAGCACTTGAACTCAAAGTACTTCTATTAACAAAAGTAACTCCGTGTTCACTCCAATTTACATTTCGACAGAGTTTTGGTTGATTGTATGATACTACATATGAAAAAAATACATAAAATTAAATCAGTTCTACTGATATGAATATATTTAACATGTGTGAAACAAGTACTAAAAAAAGGAAATCAAGTTTATTATGTTACAGTTTATGTCAGATTCAGATATTTATCAAAAGTCCTGCTCTGGTCTAATACTCTTTTGTATGCCAAGCAAGAAATAATAGATATTAAAAGTATATTACAGTTGTAGTAATGCTGATTTATCACTGAATATTAGAATTTTTTTATAAATGGTTAAAAGGAAAAATAGTTTCTTCTTTTTACTACTAAAATTACATTTCTGAATGTAACGCTAGAAACAATAGTGAAAATATTCAAAAATCGAAAGATAATACGACGTATCTGTTGTAAAATCGCTACTAATTTAGTCATGTTAAATGAGACAATCGAGAAAGTTTATGTGTAATAAGAAACTTTTGGTTGGTACAAATTCTTTTTGTTCCTACCACCAACATATCTTTCTGGTTTCGATTAATGCTTACAGAAAAACTTTTGCATGTGATAATAAATGGATAGAATACTTACTTGGATAATTCAGAAGTTCAAATTTTTGGACTCTGTGATTTCCCCATTCGCCAACGTACAGTGAACCAAAGCTATCGAATGCTAGCGAGTGAGGCGCGCTTATTTGACTTGGAGCTGCTCCACATGTTCGTGTACAAGCAACAATGCATTCACCAAAAGTTGAATTAGGAGCCCATCGTGTCACACGTGCGCTACCCGATTCAGTAATATACATATATTCATTTTCATCAACAATAACATCTGTTGGGAAATAAACTTGTGTTGACAAACTACCAGGTGTTCCATCGCCAGCGACACGAATGCCAAATGGCTTGTTTGACAACCATTTCATGATTCGATGGTTGTGACAATCTGCAACATAAATACTCCCAACATCGTTCACAAATATTCCATACGGTGCATTAAGTTGTTCATCAGTAGATCCACTGATTCCATTACCAGCCACTCGTGAGCCATTTGTTGAGTTTAATCGAAAAATAAACACACTATGATTACCAACATCACTCACATATATGTTACCAATATTATCAATATAAAAGTTCATTGAAGACTGTAATACAGTTGCAAAGGACACAGTAGTTGGACATGAACCATTCAGTGACATTTTTTGCACTCGTTGGTTGCCAACGTCTAGGATATAGAGAGTTGAATTAAAGATAAACACATCATATGGATGTGCGAATTCACCAAGATAATAGCTTTGTCTAGAACTGATAGCAAAAGGTTCGATAGTCGAATCAAGATAAATGACAACGATACGATGATTTAATGCATCACTTATGTAAAGAATATCATTGTAATCGATTGATATGCCTACGGGATGCTTAAGTTCAGAGATTGATGATCCTGATGTTCCATTCGGATTTCCTGTAATTGTAAAACCAGTTTGATTCCAAGCAGCTTGAGGTGACAATTTCATTTTCACTGAAAATATGAAAATCTTTGTATCGCTTTCATTCAATGATAAATATGCAAGTAAAAGCATACTTTCCATTTGGCATAATATACTATCTCCCAGAGATAATATTTAATTCTGACATTCATTTTATTATGAGAACTGGGCAATTCATGATTCAGAATAAATTTTTCTTATGAAATATTAATGTAATTATTGTTTTTAATAAGAAAAATTCTATGCAAGAAGATGTCTCAAATGTGAATAACTACATATAATACTCAGCTTGTTGTACTTTTTCCATCAAATCTTTCTCAAAGTAAAAAATCTTGAATATTTACTTGATATTCTGTTGAACAATATCATCAGAATGTAACATTCCATAAAATAATATTTTATCATCATTTTATAAACCTTGTGAACGCTTTCCTATCAAAAACTAACTGGTAAAAATAATTGGGTAGAAAAGAAAATGATTTGAGAAACATTATTTTCTCTTTCATTCACTTGTTAATTAATATTTACATTCTTTTGTTGTATTGTATTTCAATCTTGCATAGAATTGTTTTGATTTACATATTTGTAAGTAAAAACTCGAGAAAAATAAATTATCAAAGAAACTAATCTAGCCGAGGCACAAAAATTGTAATAGAATATATTTTTAAAGGAAAAAAGTACATAGTATCAAAATACTGGTGACGTATTTGACAAAATAATATTTAATCAATTGTTTTCATATATACTTTATTTAACATGTTTGATCAGGTTTCTAAACTTCAATACTGAATTGAATAGAATTTCTTTTGTATTCTATTATGAATAACAAATCATAGTTAAAGTAACATCCAATCATTGATTTTATTCTTAAGTTAAATTTGAATATTATTTCATAATCTAAAAGATTATATCTAAAATATATTATCAAAAATATTTGCAAAGTTTCGAAAAAAAAGAATTACTTATTGGGAACATTAGTGTGAATATTTCATACATTGACTCTTTCATCCAAACATATCGATTAAAAATCTTCTCATCTTGAGGGTATGGGTCTGAGTCGGGGTATGAGATGTTCACAAACCCACATCCACACCTACACTCACCCACACCCTGAGATGATTATTTTCCAAACCAGTAATAAAATTCATGCATTCATTTGAATCAGTGAACGATTCAACTAAAAGACTAAGTTAAGCTAAGTTCGTCTCACTTATCAATACATCCAAGTAAACAGCAAGGCAATCGTCGGTGCGTGGCCGTTGTATTGACTTAGTAGAAAGAATATTGAGCTCCATCTGATTGTGTTCCTTAGTAAGCAATTAATTTGTAGTTACGACACTATTGAACAGAAGAGACGAGAAAATATTGGCATTGATCTGATGTGAAGCGTTATCAAGAATGATTTTTCATCGTTCCTACGGTGTCAGGTAAACATATTTCAGATAAGAAAGAAATGTAACCGTTACATTTATTTATTTCTCTTCTATTTAGTTTTGACAAAAAGAAGATGTTGGTGAAACCAAATGAAATAGGAAAAAAGAAAAAAAAGAATAGGTGAATATCAGTAAGACAACTAAGAAATAGAGCGATAGTCAAAGGGATTTAATGATAATGTATTATTATCGGAGAGAAACTATTAGCAAATTCGAACGGTTTGAAGTCTACATTTTCTAAACTATGATTTTGAACACAAAAGTTTGTAATCTAAAGAAAATTCTAAAATAAACGTGAAATAAAGTTTTATAATTGTTCAGCGCCATATAAACAGACACGATTTTTCTTTCCGAATATAACAATCATTCAAAGGCACAATCGACTGTCTAATCCGATCGATGAATCCATCTGATAAAGCTGCATTAGTTTTAATAAAAATCTTGTTTAATTGTGTCATATGATGAATCATTATTGACAATTGTTTGACTATATCATCTGGTGATTTGATATGAATAAAAAGTCGTTCGAGGTTCATGAATGTCTGAACAAATCTTTCTATCATTTGTTCATGAATGTCTTCTTGTTCTAATCCAGTATTAAATTGTAGATGTTTGATCATTTTATGTAAAAGCAAACGTGTTTTATCATCATCGAATTTCTTTGTCATCTCATCAAGTATTTTGGAATGTAGTCTTAATGAATACAAATTCGGACATTGTTGTAATAGTTGACAAAACACTTGCGGTTTCAATACTGCACGAACGGATTTGAATTCTAAATGATGAATATTGTTGCAGTTGACAGAGCAATTTAAGAAAGATAAGATATCACTACTATGCCGTAAGAAGGTTTCTAGTATAATCCAATCAACATTTATATATTTATTTTTTGTGCCACGAAACAGTTTTTGATCCATCATAATGTGTAATGTTCGAATGTTATCGTAGCATGAGTTTAAAGATGGAGATATGACATTAACTACAGTCGTTGATGTCACAAAAGATGATCGACAGAATGGTATAGTATAGATATGAACGATGTCTCCATCTTCTTCAGATAAACCTTTAATCAAGTCGCATGCAATATAAACGTTCGATTTATGCCAAAATTCTGTATTGTATGGTTTTAAATTAATACGATCAATCGATGTTTGCCACAATGTTATGTGAAAACTAAACTTTATTAATTGTTTTAGATGGCTTGTAATCAATTTTCTCCAGTTTTCTGAGTCGATAAAATCCAAACAATCACTGGCTAAAATAATAGATTCAAATATTAAAAATAGATTAATTGCATTTACATTATTTTAAGTCATACGACTTACGACAAGTAACTCACAGATAAGTCATAAGTAACAGGCCAATTTTATTATTGTCCTCTGTGAGCACCACGTGTGTCAATGTGCTCCTGCTGACGAGAAAAAACTGAAAATTAATATATGACGAGAACTTTCCAATGCGTTTCTGATAGTTATTGTCAAAAGACAGACTTATTCTACGGAACGTATATTACTAGGTCATATTATATAGAGTTTAATTCTATTAAAGTGACCGAATATTGAAGTAAACAAAAACTAGGTTTAGGCTTTCTCATCTTAACCGCAGAACCTCAGCGTAGAACCGCATAAAAATCCTCTTTTCATCCACAAGGTTGTCTTTCAAGTGTTTCATCTGAACTTCTCAAAAGCCATGTTTCAAACGATGAACAACTTTATACAAAATATAATATGTTTTTTCATTCGTAGATCATAGTTGTGAAATAACTTAATATTTTTTGATCTTTTCAATTCTGCATCTTCAAATCTTTAAATCGTGTTTAAGTTTTGCTACATAAAAAAAAATAAAAATGACTGCTTTTTTATATTTACTAATTAGTTTCTTTCGATTTTCAGTCATGATCATGAAATACTAAAGCAGTTACTAATCACCTAAAAAATGCTAAAGTCTCAATGAAAATGAATAATTATGACAACATACCGGTAAACGTAAAATGTTTCAATTTTTCTCCACATTGTTTGAGTAAATGTTCTACAAAACTCCATTTTATTTCATCTACTTTTAATATTAAACATGTTAAATTCGGCAGGGCAAATTTTTCTGACGAGTATGTTTGAGCTCGACTGGGAAAATCCCAAATAGAAATGTTCAAATATTTAATGTTTGGAGCTAATTGCAACAGTACAGCAACATTTCCAACTCGGCAGGAATTAACTGTTAAGTAGTCAAGATTTGGAAGAATGTTAATGAATGAACTACTTGAAGAAAGAATACTGGTATCAGTCAGTTTTAGCTTTAATGTCTTCAGTTTTGATCGGATGACATCACTGTCAAATATTAAAGAAGAAATATCAGCTATTGTACCATAAAAGGAAATTATTAAACGTTTCAACTGAGGAATATTGGTTAACTTCGTCGAAATAAGTTTTAGTTGAGCAGCGTTAACATTTTCCAGGTTTATTTCTTCTAACTTCTCGTACGCAATCAGATTCATTTTTGCTTGAACTTTCTTAATAACACCAATCATTATTGCTCGATCACCTGTAACAAAATCTCCTTGTTCTTTGTCAAACATAAAATCATTGGATATTTTTATAGAACGTAAACTGGTTATAACATCAGGTAAGATGTGTTCGAGATGATAATCAAAATCTCGTTTCGATTGGATCTTTGATAAACTGATATGAGTAGTGCCATAACATACAATAGCATTGAGTGTATGGTTGATATTATACAAAGATCGATAACGGTCTACAGGTGACAGATACTGAATAATATCGAGAAATATAGTGTTCGGTAGATCTGTTAAAACTTGGACAGTTGCCATTATTTACTTTTCAGTAAAGAAAATATTGTTATTCGAATAAACTATTGAGTCTAATAATGGAACTTCTTGCAACTTTATGATACTAAAACATATAATACAACCATTTCATTATGGAGGATAACACATACTTTAGTATGGATGATAAAATTGAAAACTAAATCAAACTCACAGAGATGCATCTGTGATTGGTCATCTTTTAGCGTAACATCTAGCTCTTCGATTGATACTTAGGCGGATGATTTCGTGATCAAATCGAACGGGAATTATGCATTTTATCGATCCCTAAACTCTATTTTGGTAGGAACCGTACCGTGAGTGTGAGTGTGGGTGTGTACATGTGAAGATAGATATCATGCAATCATACCTAAGCCTATATAAACATTTACACACGCACTCACACTCTTAGACGAGAACTCACTAGGATATGAAAGTGATCAAATTGTGCAAATGATCGTACTTGGTCTTCGGTTTTCTTTCAGCTCGTAACCTATTACTTGAAATGAATTGATATTATGATCGTGGAAATAACAGTTCACTTCTCGATATGTACAAGAAATCTAAAATAAAAAAATGATTTTTACAGTTTTATGAAAAGAACGTCATATACACAATAGTATCAATAAATGATGATAAAATAATATAAAAGAAACCAAAACTTATCTTTTAACTTATGAATAGTCATTAATAAAGCCGAAACTCCGGGAGTGTGTGATAGCCTATAAAACTCTCGCAAACCAACTGTTATCCGACGAACCGTTTGACATAAAACCGCTCAGATATAGCTTTAATTTTCGCGATTTTGTGATAGAGTTGGTGAAAAAGGGGACAAAACACAGTTTATTTAATTATTTGTTATAAAGCTCGTTTTAAAAAGGTGGTTTCTGTTGAGTGTCTCATACATGCTCTCCGAAACTACACTCTCACAAACGTTTTTCTCCTCTTTCGTTCTCTGCTATTATACTTTGCGTAAGATTTATTGCCGAATAGGGATATGATATGAGATTTTTATTACAGTATACGCAATAAAAGTCAAGTTAAATCTCTACTCGGCAATAAATTTTAAACAAAGTTAAAACTGTCAAGTCATATCTCTACTTGGCAATAGATTTTATACAAATTATAATACCACAGAAATAAAGAAGATGGAAAGGCTTTTGTCTATGAGTGTATCTCATATTTGGATCTATTTTTCTATGAAAACTGTTTTCAAAAGAATTTGTTATTTTTTCACTGATTTTTTGTCTGTATTACCAGAATTTTTTCGGTACAACATATGATTTCAATCGATCAGTTTACTGACAAGACTAGTTTACCATTTCACAACCGATTCTCGGTACTGATGTATATCACGTCGCAAAAAATAAGTATTCTTAGAAACAAAAGCTGGAGACGATTAAAATACTCGAAAGAAGTCGAATACTTCAAAATATTTAGGAAAAGAATTAAAAATCAAGAAAAATCAGGAGTCTCCTGGTCAGATCAAAAGGTTTGGTAACCGTGCTTGAGATATATCATGCGCATGTGGCACAAAATATTTACCAAGTGCACCGGAAACAATCATACATACTTAGTTGTTGACGATGGTTTGAATTAAGTCGAAACATTCTTGACCATCTGTAAACGTGCTTACGTTATTAACTACACGTTTCAATTGTTTGATTGTATTACTACGATCAACATTATCATCATCATCAATGTTATTGTCCAACCAAATAAGGAGGACATTTTGCATTCTTTGCATGTGAATACGTTGGTTCGCAACTGCATGCTTGGAAAATTTTGATACGAGTTTCGTATTAGCTTGTTTATTGGTTAGAACAGATGTTATTGGTTTCTTGTTCGTCATTGTTTGTTGTAATGTAGACTATTTCAAGAAGAAATGTTTATAAATGAATGAGAATAATGTGTCATTTTATAGTACAAGAATTTTCTTTCGAGATTGTTCTTTTTATCATCATTTACATTGTTTTCTCTGTTATCAGTATTTCACTTGATTGTTTCATGTTTGTTAAATATACGTCACAAAACGTTAGGGATATCGTCAGAGTTATTTATCAGTTACCGATTAACGCAAAGGACGTTAAAGTATGGTCATTGTTGACAATTAAAACAAAAATCTGTGAGAAATAGTTCTTAAAATATTTACCTTTACAGAAAATCTCTAAAGAGAAATTTTTTTAGTCATTATTAAAGAAAATTTGCAAGTATTTTCTGTTGAAATAATGAGGAAAAAGATTAAAACCATTTCTATCAAACAGACAGAGAAACATTTCATTATTATACGTACCGTCGATTGTTCTGTTTTATTTTATTTTTATTTTCATGTATCAAGGACTACGCGTATGCCTGGTCTATAACTTATATAATGTTATCAGAAATATGAAAAATCAACAAAATAGACACATTCCAGTAAACCAAAAGAAAAATAGCAGTATTGGTATCTCTTTAAAATGAATAAAATTCATAAAAAAGTCTTCCTTTACATGTTATTTGTTTCCATACTAATCAGATGTCTGAAATGAATCAATTGACTATAATGCAATCATCTAACTAATCGTTCTCACCTGCTTGTCATTGGATAATGATCAAGTGTAAACTTTCATAAAACTTTACATCTTCTTAACTACGCTACAATCTTCTGTGATAGATATTCACGTATGTATTTTTACTTGTCAGTTTCACAAATGATTGTTCGTTTTAGAAAAAGCATTAACAAGTATCTATATATAGATGAGAAAAATCCCATGAAGACATTTTAATATCATCCACTTTTGAAAATAAAAAATTCTATTATAATACTTCTACTTATCTATTTTGCAGATATCAGTAATACAGAAAACAAGTTGATCGCGTACATTTTCAAGTTTTATGTTGAGTCAAAGTTCATTTTTTTAATAATTAGTGTGTTTGTATTATCTTTTACAAGTAGCTTATATTCGACTAAAATTTATTCCTGAAAACTATCACATATTATCTGATGAAACATTTGTGAAATTATCTGTAAAATATACTTTCAGATTTTGAATAGCAATAGTAAAAATTTAATGTACTTCTATAGACATAGACCTTCTTTGTATATGTAACATCTGTGTTTATGTTCAATAATAAACGAAAAAAAAAATATAATGTGTAATGAATAACTTAATTATATAAAATTATTATATGATATACTGACCTTTTCAATAGTAACATCCTAAATAAAACATTCTTGTCTCAAGTTTCTCAAATTAGAGAATAACTCATTGGTATGTAATGATATCGTCACACAATCTTAATTTTTTTTATATGTAACTAACTTTTTCTGCTTGGGTTAAAGCAATCAATACTCTTTGAATGTAAAATACATAGTAAAAAGAATGAATAGTTTCAACCAATCATTAAAATAAATCATGACTTAGTTTTAGAAAATAAAATAAAATTTGTGTTACAAAATATTAGACAATGGAATTAATTCATAGTACATATTCACACGTTGTTCTTTCGTTGAATAACCATGGATTTATAAATCAAACCGTTTATATAATTTATTTACTTGGATACGTCTGAAATTCTGGGATTAAGATATGGATGTATCATATATATTCTAATTACTCATATCCACCTACATCCTCAAGATAAACGCTTTACTTCGCATTGCATTAAAAGTAGCAAACTTATGTAATGAAATTAAATACGGCGCGTGTTATAGAATGTCAAAGGAGGATCGTTCGAATTTGCTTCTTCGAGATTTTGAACCATCTATTGTTCGACTTAAACGTAAACTTCGTCTTATTCTTAATAAAAATCTCCGACAAGATAAAATTAGTAATGAAAATATTACTCTTGTTGAATTTATATTATATTCAAGTAAATATTTGATATTTTATTAATATTCTTAATCTACATTATTTTAGTATTTCTTATAATTGTTATTATCATGTGTACTATGAATTATATTTCTCAAGATCTTTTCTATGCCGATAAATGTATTCGACGATTACTTATTAATAAATTCGAATTAAATAAAGTTAAAACAATTGATACATTTTGGAAATATATAGATCGATTTAATAATGAACTTTATAGTATAAATTTTTATTTTTTCTTAATTATTTTTCTTTTAGTTATTTATTTATTTATATAGCTAATGTTATTCAATTAAAACAAATAACAAATAATACGAAAGAACAATTTACTCATCAAATATTATTCTCAAATGAAAATTTTATTCTCGGTACACCGCGTCTACGTCAAATCCGTATTGATGATACCTATTGTTATATTATGAAAGATCTTAGTGTACGAAAAATAAATTGCTATATACCATATGATAAATCTAAAGAATATCGAGATAAATTCACTTCAATCACAGGCGCACAATATATTTATACATCATCAAAAACAACATCTGCATTAAAATTAACAAATATATATGGACCATATGATACTGGTGGTTTTATTTATCATTTTGATTCAATAAAACAATTGAATGATGAAGCTATGGAAAGCTTGAAAACTAATGCATGGTTAGATTTAAGTACACGAGCAATTTTTCTTGAATTTATCTATTTCAATCCAAATACTGAACAAATTACTTCAATTAATATTCTTTTTGAATTTCTTACAACTAGTAAAAACTCTTAGCACTATATGCTTTTAATTCGTGTTTTTTTTCTTTAGGTACAATTGAAACAAAAGATTTTTTCTATACAATTCCAATAAACAGTTTCTTTTTTGGACGAAAAAAATTATTAGGAATATTTCACATTTTATTTCTTCTATATTATATTATATATACTTTTTATTATGTTGGTAAAATAGCTGAATATCGTTTATGGTTTATTATGTCATCCTATTGGAATCTTTATGATCTTAGTTTACTTATTTTATTTAGTATATCATTTTATTTTGATATTAAATATCTTGTATATATATCTCAAACAATAAATTGTTTATCCACACCTAAAAATGATATATTTAAAGAATTGATTTCATTTATTGAAACACAAATCAATCGAATGGATTTACAAGCTTATATAATAGCAGCTAGTCTTATTCGTTTACTTCGTTTTTTACCTCATTTTTCTCATTTAATATCAAATTTACTTAATGTCTTCTATAAATCAATTCGAAATTCATTTGGTTTTCTTCTTCTATTCATTCTTATATTTCTATCATTTGTTGTTTTTGCAACATTTCATTACGGGAATGAATTATACGAAGTAAAAAATAATTTTTTTTTCAAATATTAAAAAAATTAAATTTTTAAGTTTCATACATTTGCATTAACATCTTATACACTCATTCGATGTACACTAGGTCAATTTGAATATGATCGTGCTTATCGTGTTTCACCAACATGGACTCCCATTTTCTATATGTTATATGTATGTATTATATTTTTTATATTACTTAATTTATTAATTGCAGTTATAAATGAAACATATGTATTGAGTAAAGAAGAACAAAAACAAATTGAAGATGATCTTCAAGAAGAAAATATTTCTCATAGAAATTATTCTAAACAACCAAAATTTATTCAACAAATAACTTCGTTTCTTAAGAAATCGATTGATAATGATGATGATAAAATTTCACTAGAAGAAAAACAAATTTTAATTATTGAAAAATTAAAAAAAATTCTTGTTAATGATGGTTATAATAAAGATATGATCGAGAAATTTTTTGAATCTAATAATGATGATGATAGATTTCTATTAGAAATTGAACAAAATCAAATAATAAAAATTCTTTATAATGAATTTAAGATATTTAATAATCAATATGAAAAATTAGCACAAGATTGGCAAAAAACAGTTCGAAATGCTCGTCAATTAATTCTTGTTAATACAATTGATATTGAACAAGTATTAATAATGAAAAATAATTTAGATATTCTTGATCAACGTTTAAAAAAATTTGAAAATCTTATTCCGAAAATTCTTGAAAATATTCGTGAACTTTATGTTAATCATTTTTTTCAATAAATAAAACGAGAGAAAGAAAAAAAAATTACAATTTATGTTGTTGTTGTATTAATTGCAACTGTTGGTGTAGATAATGTCATTGAAGATGTCATAGAATCCTGTTGAACCATTAAACTTGTGACAACTTGTTCGAAACGTTTCGATTTCAATTGTGTATTTGGTTCATAAAATGGATTTGAAACACAATCGATGTATGCTTGATGCAAACGTTGAAATAGTAATTTGATATCCGAATCCTTCAGTGATGATGAAGTAGAATGTTCAAAAATTAAAATAAATTTAACACGTGTTGGTGATACATATCCATAACTAGAAAAACAAAGCGATAGATTAGTTGTTTTTTGATAAGATATTTTACATTTTGTATTCTTCGACTGGATAGAGAAGACCAAGATAGAAATCTTTTGTATCTCGATCACCACCTGGTTTAGTTAATTGATTAACTTTATCATCAAGTATATCAATTGATGCATGAATAAGAAAAAGAAATTTTAATTCTTCTGTTGATCGACGAAGATAGATTAAATTCTACAAAAAAATAATCAAATAGAGAAGAAATGAAATTTTTAAATTACTTCTTTTATTAGAACTGCAACACAACAAGCCATTTGTATGGAATGATGAATAGAAAAAACTTCTATGATTTTCTATTGGTTTTAAAGATAAACTAGTAAGATAAAATAATGTCGCTAGATGTAATAAAATACATTTCTATAACAACGAGTAAATTCATGGTTGTAAAATTTTCTTGATTATTAGGCAAATTATTTACGTGATAGAATGTCGTTTTTTTCAAATCAATTTTCAATTAAAAAGACGAAACCACGAAAATTTGTTTCGAGAAGTCCATTGAAATTACCCGCAGATGAAATGTATCGTGAATTAGGTCCGAAATATGAAGCAATTGATGTTAAAATTGCAGATAGAAAAATTATTTTTGATATTGAACATGGTGATTGGAATACAGGTATAAATAGAGGTTTTTTTTTGTACTATATAATGAAAATTTTTTTATTGATTCTATTCTAGCTGGTGCAGAAAGTGTTGGTGGAATAGCATCGAGTGGTTCGGCAAAAAAACTTGGAAAAGATATAACAGTTTTACAAGAAGAAAATAATATGTTGAAACTTAAAAATGAAGTTTTATTAAATCTTGTTGCTGAATCTGTTGCTGAATTATCATCACCGGAAAAATAGAATAAAAAAATATTTCTTTTGTTTTTTATACTATGTATTGTTTTATATTATTTAAAAAAACAAGGTTTTTTTTTGTCAATAAAATCGATAGTGCCTTTGTCAAACATAATAATAAATAAATATAGAAATAGTAAAAATGATTTGTTTATTACGAATGATTATGTAAACCAATCATTTTGAATGATAATAAAAGAAAGATCTTTTGACAGCTAATAAAATGATTCATTCACATTCTTTTGTTATTCATATGATTTAAAAGAAATTTTTCCAATGCATCCGTATCTTATTGAAGGACTCACTGTTTTATTTCCTTTCGAAGCTTATCAATGTCAACTTGATTATATGAAAGCTGTTGTTGAATGTTTAGTTAAAGTTTGATATATTTTTTTTTATGTCATAAAAAAATAATTTATTATATAATTTTTCAAAGGGTCAAAATGGTATTCTTGAAAGTCCAACAGGTACGGGTAAAACTCTTTCTCTTCTTTGTGCTTCACTTGCTTGGCTTGAACAATATAAAATACATAATTCGGATTCAAATGGTAAGATTTTATTTAGACATTTGTAGCAAAAAAAGCTTTGATATTTATAGAAGCACCAGTTCAAATTATATATGCTTCACGTACTCATTCGCAATTAGCACAAGTTGTTAAAGAATTTAAATCAACTGGATACAAGTTTGGAAATTTAATTTTTTGCAAAATAATTTATATTTTTCCTTGTTTTGTTTTTTTAGTCGTATGAAAATAACTGTTTTAGGGTCTCGTGATCAACTTTGTATTCATCCAGAAGTAAAATCTCTTGAAAATAGTTCGGATAAAATATCAGTTTGTCGAGAAAAAGTTCGTCGAAAAACATGCGCATTTTATCGTAATTTCGAAAGTATATTTTACAAAAATAATACACACAAAAATTAATAGAATCAATTCTAGTTGCTAAACCTGATATTGTCAAATTACCAGCATTGGATATTGAAGATTTAGTAAAAGAAGGAATACAGAGAAAGTATAAAACTAATTGGCAAATTAATTTTTTTAATAAGCATATTTGTTTTTAAGATTTTGCCCTTATTTTGCTGCAAGAGATCTTAAAGAAAAAGCTGATATTATATTTATGCCATATAATTATCTACTTGATGCTAAAGTATTTCAACAAAAATTATTGAAAATAAATAATAATGTTTGTCTTTTAAAAGGCTCGGCGTATTCATAAAATAAATGTACGTAAATGTATAATTATATTCGATGAAGCTCATAATATTGAACAACAATGTGAAGATGCAGCGTCAGTTATGATTAGTTCACTTGATCTTGCTGGTTGTCTTGATGATATAACTAAAGTTATGCAATGGATGATGGATTCACAATCATCAACATCTTCTTTGAACGAACTAGATGATGGTAATGAAGATATCAATACTGATACAAATAGTAAATAATTGATTAGGAATTCGAATTATTTATTTATTATTGAATATTATTTTAGAGTTAACTATTACAAATGATCAGATTTGTAATTTAAAATGTAAGTTAATTATAGAAGAAGAAGAAAAAAAAAACAATATTGGATTTTTATTTAGTAAAAATTGCGAAATTAGAAGAATTATTAGATAATATGAAAACAACTAAAGGAAATATTCCATCACCTGGCGAGTATGTTTTTTTCTTAGAAAATAAAATATAATATAGAATATCGATTTATTTTAGTACTGCTTTTAAATGGTTAAAAAGTGCTGACATCGATTTCAATCCACAAGGAGATATTCAACATCTTCTAGATATTAATCAATTTATGGCAGCTAGATGTAATTATATATATATACAAATATTCATTCTATTTCTATTTTGATTTTCTTTAGCTAGTACAATTTTTCGTTCAAATGGACATTCTCTTCTTAAACTATCGGAATTTATCGAAGTAAAATATATGCTTTCTATTATAAAATATATTCTATTTTATATTCAGACTGTTCATCCACTAGATGAAAATGGTCAACCAATTTTTACACTTGAAATGGATAGTCAGCGAAAAGCTGTTTTTAAAGTATTAGATCTGTTTTAAATTTTATCATAATTATTATTATATATTTAGGTATATTTAGAAGAAGAAACTGGTAATAATAATGAACAAAGACCTTCAATTATTGTTTCTAAACGTTAGTAAATTATTATGAGATGAATAGATTTAGTCTTTTTTCTTTTTAGGACCTAAAAAACTTCATTATTGGTGTTTATCACCTGGTTTTGCTATGCGACAATTATGTATGCAAAATACTCGTTCTATTCTTTTAACTAGTGGTACACTTTCACCAATTGATTCATTTAAAACACAATTATCAATGTATGATGAATGAATTTTTGTTTTCTAAATAGACAATATTTATATTTATAAATTTTTAGTCCATTTGATATTGTTATACAAAATGATCATATTATAGGAGAAAATCAATTATTTGCTGCTGTTTTACCTCGAGCAGCTGGAAATAAACATGTTCTTACGTCTGTTTATAGAACGCGGTTAGTCAAAAGATTCTTTAATGTTGAAAAAAAAAAATCATTATTTTTCTATAGACAAAATCCTGAATATCAAGAAGCATTAGGTCAAACATTACATAATGTAATAAAAAATATTCCTGGTGGTGTTCTCGTCTTTTTTCCTTGTTATAAAATGATTGAAGAAGTTGTTACAACATGGAAGGTTTGTTTTTAATTTACTCTTCTCTACGAGAAAGAGAACAAATCTTAAATAAGATTCGATAATTATATGTTTATTTTTGGAATAAAATTAGAATAATGCAACATTTGAAACAATGAATCAACGTAAACGCGTACTTATTGAACAAAGAAATAAAACAAAATTTGAAAGCCAAATGAAAGAATTTAATACAATTATTGAAACAGATGAACGTGGTGCAATGTTATTTGCTGTTGCTCGTGGTAAATTAAGTGAAGGTATTGATTTTAGTGATAAATCATGTCGAGCAGTAATTATTATTGGAATACCATATGCACCACATCAAGATCGACGAGTTATTGCTAAACGACATTATCTTGATGAAATTAATCGTGGAAATGTAGATTTTTATTAATATTTAAAAGTAATGAGAAAGAATTAAATTTTTGTTTTCTTTTGATTTAAAGAAAGACTCAAAGGCAGGTGATGTATGGTACAATCAACAAGCATTTCGAGCTATTAATCAATGTGTTGGTCGTGTTATTCGACATAGACAAGATTATGGTGCTGTAATTTTTTTTGATCAACGGTGAGAATATTTATTTTAGAAAAATGAATTCTATTTTTATTAATATAGATTTGGAGAAAATACAGATAAACTATCAAAATGGATTCGTCCATATGTACATTCAGTAGATTTTACTGGAATGATGAAAGGATTGAAAGATTTTTTTGCTCAAGTAAATTTTTTATTTCTTTTATTATTTTTTATTACTATCATTTAGTATTCATCAACTTCAATTGCTCAACAAAAACCTCGTCCTATTCAACAAGCATCTTTCGAATCGGTTACATATTCAACAACTATGACGGCATCTGTTACAACGAATTCTACTAATCATACAATATCATCTGCAGATATTCTTCAGAAAACATTAAAACAATCAAGTATATATTTTATACATTTTTCTAATAAATAAACATATATTTTTCTTAGCTGAATTTTCTATCAAAACAACTCAAAATGAATCAAATACTATTCATAAATCTTTATTTGATGCAATATCATCAACACAACGAGTAAATCTATAATTAAATATGAATTTTATTTTTCTACATATTTCCTTATTAGGCTACTAATATGACATCAACACAAAATCTTGAATCTGATGACGTAAATATTCTTTTTCAAAAAAAGTTTATATTAAATTTTCTTCTTCTAGAAACAACGTGATTTTGATACGATGCTCGAATTAAAAAGACGTGAAGCCACACGTCCAGATTCTGTATCTAAAAAATTTCTTTCAGCTATGGGAACGGTAAATATGAAAAAACAAATCCCGTCTTTTTTGATTCATCTATTTGGATTTTATTTAGTTTGAAGATACATCATCAAATAATCCTCCATCACCTTCAATAACTACAAAAACTTCTGAATATAGAGAATTGTTATGTCAAGTAATTTTAATTACGAAATTATTTTCCTACCAACTTATTTCATTATAGTTAAAAACAGCTATGCCACATGGAATCTATCCACGTTTTACACATATGTTACAAGATCATAAAACTCATAAAACCGATCGAACTATTTTTCTTAAATTACAATCATTACTTGTTGAAAGTCTAGCAAAAAATCATCACAAACTTTTTATGGGTAATTCCACCAAATAGAGATTATTACATATATATAACATTTATTGTAGATATGGCTCGACATATCAGTGCACAATTTCGAGAAGAATATATTCAAGCAGGACAAAACTATTGTTCATCAAATGAAACACAGGAAATAACTGAAAATTTAATTAATAATAAAAGAAAAGATATATCATCAGGTGATTTAGAAACACCATCAGCTAAAGTAATTAAAAGTAAGTTATTTGAAAGATATATAATAAAAAAAAATCTATATATCAATTTTTTATTATAATAGCCAATCATAGCAATAATCCATTTCGATGCAAATGATTTAATTAATAATAAGAAAAAATAACCGTGTCTATTATGTTTCAACTTATTTTGTTATAATATAAATTTCATCTAGTTTTTCATTAATATCTTGTCATTTTTGTGTCTTCTATTTGTGTATTAATATATGAAATAGAAATATAATAATTTAAGTTTCTAGAAAACTCATACATGAAATTAGTGGTGTAATCAAGGGAGGGAAGAGGCAGATGGGGCTCAGTCCCATCACCCTCAAAATTCTGGTTACTCCACCAAGATATTTTCCAAATGAAAAAATAAATGATCATTGTTTTTATTTTTTTTTTGATATATCGAAATAAAACAAAAATGTTAATTCTAACATGATAACTGTTAGCGTCTGTGTGAATTACACGACGCTAAACTAGAGATTAAGTTGGTACTGCTAGTCTAATTGGCTTAGGATAACTGCCCAGATAGCAGAAGATGTGGGTTCGAATTCCATCAAGGTCATCTTTTTCTCCACCCAGGTCGATGATTACGCGATTCGTATACGGTAGTAAACAAGCATTTACGATCGCGTATACGATCGTGTTTCGCCGTATTTTGATGTATTACCTGTCTCAGTATTACGATCGTATTTTCTCTGTATCATATACTCTCATTTACGTAAATAAATGATCGGTTACGCTAGCAGTAATCGATCGTTTTTTATCCGTAAACGGTCATCAATGAAACAGTTTCAGTTAACTAACTACGATGTCGAAAAACGGCTACATTTTAATATCGTGAAATGACCGTATACTGTCGTAAAAATACAGAGAAAATACGATCGTAATACTGAGACAAGTAATACGTTAAAGTACGACAGAATACGGCACGACATCCGTATACTGTCCGTATACAGGCGTTTACGACAGAGCATGTTTGACCTGGGGCATTTTCTCTTTCTTTCGTTTTCTTTTGCTGATGTCTCTTTCATGGCTTAAATATGAAGCTAACAATAACAATGCTGTCTGATTTTAACAAAGAAATTATTCGATCATCCATTCCCAGGTCGATTATTACGAACTGCGTAAACGATTGAATACGACCATATCCGGAAAAAATACGACCATATACGATCGTATTTCATCGTATACGATCGTTTACGATCGCGCTTGTTTGACCTGGTTTGTCGACGTGGTTTTTGTATTTAATTCAAAAGAAGGTAAATATCTTTTTCGTACAAAATTTGTCTTTTCTACTACTTTGAGATTATTCTGATTGGCCATCGTGGTATAATATGTACATATTTCTCTATAATAGAACCTCTGATATATACTCAGGTCGATGATTACGAACTGCGTAAACGATTGAATACGACCGTAACCGGAAAAAGTACGACCATATACGACCGTATTTCAGCGTTTTTTGCCGTATTACCTGAGACCGTATTACGATCGTATGTCTCCGCACCGTATACGGAAAAGTATGATTGTTTACGGAGAAAAACGGTCGTAAAAGATCGTATTTTTCCGTTTACGGCACGGAAACACACGACCATTATATGGCCTCAGGTAATACGACAAAATACGGTCACGAGTGGTCGTATTTCTCCGTATATGATCGTTCACGATCGGGCTTGTTTGACCTGGATAACGGTGATACAATAAATTGGAAATGTACAAAGTATGTTAAAATCTTATATATTTTATAATTTTATTTTATAATTTTCTATCTATATTAGCCGATTATGTCATGCATTTGTACTAACAGAACGCAAGCGTGTTGAACAGCAGTATGATAAACATGATTCACGGAAATGGCCAGGTTCAACTACACAATTGTTACCGGACATTCAAACGTAAGATAATATACTAAAATATTTTAGCTGAAATTTTTTTCTTTGATTTTGGTGAAGAAGGTGGAGACTTCATCATTCTTCGTTTAATACATGGCAGACATATATCAGCTAAACAAAATCATCTCGTTACCCAGGTCAACCAATCCAACGTTGGATCCGATCATCCAACAGAATCCGATGGGATTCCTGGTGACGGATTTGCATTGGATTCCGTACGGAAAATTTTCAGTCACTTGCTGCAAATTTGATGAGCGGCGTTTTTAGCTATTTTCTATGATGGCCTTATGGTCACCTATCGGATCCGTCTAGATCCGTTTGTTGGAAATTGTGAGATCCGATGGGATCCGACCATAACGGAATCCGAATTGATTCCGTCACCAGGAATCCTATAGGATTTTGTCGGATCGTCGGATTCCGATAGAATCCGGCATAGGATCCGATTGGATCTAATCGGATCCAAATATGGGATTGGTGCACCTGGGTATAGGAAATATAAAATTATCGAAAAAAGAAGATTTAGTATTATATAGTCTCCATCCTGATAATAATGGAGGTCCATTTGGTTCTGGTTTCATTAAGAGGGAAATTAAGGTCGATTTAAAGATCAATCATGAAGGTGAAGTTCGTCGTGCACGTTATATGCCACAAAATTCTCAAATAATTGCAACAAAAACGTCTTTACCTGATGTATTAATCTTCAATATTGGTATACATCGAACAAGTACAGCACAAACGACTGAATGTAATCCTATATTACGTTTACTAGGTTATGCTACAGAAAGCTATGGTTTATCATGGAATCCCGAGAATACTGAGGGAGAGTTACTTAGTACAGCTGGTGCTGATAGAATTTGCTTGTGGAAGATCAATAGGCAATCAGGAGCAGGAATAAACTGTCCTCCTTACTCGACTTATAAGGGTCATACAAATGTTGTTAAGGTATGAAAAATGTCTATAATGAATTATATTTGAACTTGTTTATTTTCTAGGATGTTGCATGGCATTGTGAAAAAGAAGAAGTATTCGGCTCTGTAGGTGATGATCAACCGCTTATGATGTAAGTTGATTTAATTATTTTATATTTATTATAATTTTATTATTTAAGTTGGGATACACGATCCGATAGTTATTCAAAACCAAGTCTTAGCGTTATTAATGCACATACAGATAAATTTAACTGTGTAAGTGATTGAATTATTTATTGTAAAAGTAAAAAAATGATTTTATTTCTTATTTTTTCAGATTGCATTTAATCCATTCTTGGAAAATATACTTGTTACTGGTTCAGCTGATAAAACACTTGCTTTATGAGATTTAAGACAGTTAAAACGTAACTTCGCTACATTTGAATCACATAAAGATGAGATTTTTCAAGTAAATGTTAGGAAATACGGTGGGCTTCATTTTTAATTTTTTTTCATATTATCTAGGCTCAATGGTCACCTCAAAATAAAACAATATTTGCATCGAGTGGTTCAGATCGGCGACTTTGTATTTGGGACTTCAGGTAAAATATAAGAAAGAAACTGTATCTTTTTTATTTATATAAAAAAAAATTCGTTTATAGCCTAGCCCAAATCCATCAATCAGAAACACCAGTTCATGGAGAAAATGATCCACCTGAACTATTGGTAAAGAAAAATTTAACAACAAAATGTCCTTTTTTAATATGTTTTTTAAATATTTAGTTTACTCATGGCGGACAATCAAAAATATGGGATTTTTCTTGGATTCCAAATGAACCATCGCTCATTTGTCCTGTATGCGAAAATAAGACGGCTCAAGTTTGGCAAATGCTAATTTTATTATACTATTAAAAACAACTGATAACAATATATCTTATTTTTCTACAGGTTGAACACTGTATATAACGATGATATTGGTATGGAAGCAATGTCTGGTGAACGAGGTGAAACTACTCCACCACCATCTGCTATTGTTTTAAAAAAGTAATAATAGTTTTTTTTTGTTGTGTCTAGAATAAATCTGTGTCTTTGTCAATGCTTTTTCTTTATCTGTATTCTAAATACGACAAAACAAGAGCAATGTAACCGTATTAATTCAATTTCATTTCGATCAAAATTTTATTTTCTTTACAACAATAAACAAAAAAAAACATTTTTTTCTCTTTTAACATAATCAATAACGTTTTTTTCTAAAGCATATTTTTGCATTAGAAAAATATTTTTCTAAAGCATTGCAGTGTTCTGCTCGATCACATAAATTTAATTTAATTATTTTATAATAATTATTTCGAGTAGCATCTCTTGTGAAATTATGTGTTACTCGTTGTAAAGATTCATAATTAACAAAAAGAGCAATATTATTTTGTAAACATGTTTTGGTATCAAGAAGAAATTCTTCTACGTAATCATTATGAGCCCTGTCAATATAAAGTTTACAAAGAGAAGTATATTTAATAACTGATAAATTTCCATTATCGCCGTTTGATTGAAAAGATTGCGTTTGATTTTGTGCTTCATAATTAACCAAAGATAATTCTTGCATAAATGGAAATGATTTCTGAATTCGAACAAAAAATTCATGTTGAAAAGGACGTTCATCAATTAATGAAACTGAACGAACATGTTCAAATAGTCCACCTGGAAAAACATTTGAAATACCTGTATAATATCGCATCATAAATGGATATGAGTAAATATGACATTGAACTTGTTCTGTATGTGGAAGAATATCCATATAAGAAGTGATGTTATCATTTGGAAAGTCAACGATTGTCTTTTGAATAACTTCTGACGATGGTAAACGCATTGAATGAGTAGCATGACAGAATGAGTGAATAAAAAATGTAAATTGATTTAACTGTGGCATATGTTTAAGGATATTTGTCTTTAAATGCTTTCCATCAATTACTGCTTTTTGACACCACACCGTGAGACATAAAGTGAGTTCTTCTAGATTTGACATTCGACGAAAAAGTGGAAGAACTGCATCGTCATAATGGGTTGTGCTATCTGCACACGAAAGAGAAAAACACTTTAGATTTGGTAAATGATCCTAAAAAGTAAAATATTTTATTTTTTGACAAGATACAAATTTTATTTCTGTGTAAAACTAACTTGATTTATAGTTCTATTTTGAAATGCAATACCAAGTATGTCAACATGAAATGTATGAAGTTGATTATAACGACCATCAAGAAGATAGAGACAATCATTAATAGATTCTACACGAATAATTAATTTCGAAAGAGTTGAAGAACGAATATTATGAAAAAATGGATTGTGAAAAGTTAATCGAACACGAATTTTATACCATGCGTCATTTAATACAAAACTTGTCAAATTAATAAAAACGTTCAAGATTTTATCAAATATCTTTGCAACTGATCGTGTCATTTCATCAGCATCATCATAATCATCACATATTGTAATAGAAAGTGTTCTTATTTGTTTTTTGAAAATATCCGAAAGAGTTTGATCTAAATATATATATAATCAAGCATATAGTCTTTGATAAAATTTTCAAAAAAAAGAAATACAGAATTGAATTCAAACTTCTTACCTATAAGATATTCAGCTGACTTTTCATTAATATTATGAAGAGTAAGACTATGTAAATTAGGATAATTAGCAGCACATAAAACATGTTTTATAAATGATGAATTAAGATCAAGTTGTTGAACTTTATCATGTATCGAAGGTAAAATTTGTAAACAAAATCGATTGAGCATTATATCAGAAGATAATAGATCGAGAAAATGATTTGATGACCATTTGGCAAAAGTCAAATGACTTGTAAACATTTGATGATGAATTATTTGATTTAGTCGTTGATTGACATCATGTAGAGAATAAAGTATTTGGATATTGTTCAAATTTTTCAAACGAAGTGTGATAGTATGACTATGGTGTTACTTTTCTTTTTGGACTCTATTCCTTTCTTTTCTCTTTTTTTTTTCTTTCTTTTTCTTCAACTGTCAACCTAGTTATAAAGGGACAATAAATCTGAATATAAAAAAAAAAAAGTATTGTTCAAATTTTGAAAAATATGAAGAAAAATTTCAACAGGCAAAGCATTTAGTTCAATGTATGAATATTCCATTTTTGTGTTTCTTGCTGTATTCTTTACAATTCATTATCTTGAGATATATATATATATATATATATATATATATATGCTAATTTATTTTATTTGACCGACGTCGTCAATATAGACACTGGACTTTGTTCTATATGATCGAAATAGTCACAAACTGAGCAATGTATAATTCCTGCTGGCTTTTGACAAGTGGAACATTGATTTGATTTTATCATTTCTATGAGTATAATATACAATAGAATGTTACTTATGAACATATAGTTAAGATAAAGAATAAGTTTACCTCATATAGTATAATCCATCGGTCGATGAATTTAAGGGGCTGAGCCCCATCACTCTCAAAATTCTGGTTACGCCACTACATGAAATAGGTTATAAACTATTAATCCACATATTCATCTTGGAAATAGATGCATATTTCTCTCATAGGATACACTTGTCGATTGTATAATTTCTCATTGCGTTATCAAAAAATATTTTAGAGTGTTAAAAACAATTATCTATTATTCTAAGAGATGTGATCACAAACAATATGGAATTATATTAAAATGAAACTGTACAGTTAATTATCAAACAACTTAAATAAGCAAGTCACCTGAAAACAACATTTACAGAGTAAAAAAATTTTCTATGATTACAATTCATACATTGAATATAATAAAGAAAACTTATTTCAATTCTGGAGTACTTATTTCTGAATCATATATTTTCACTCGTTAAACTTGGCATTATACGCAATAGCATCATTCGTAATAAAGAATACAATAAATGATTGATGGATAGTTTTTCACTTCAGCGTGTGTGTGTGTGTGTCTTGTCATGCTTGAATTACTTGTGGAGGAAAAAATGTCAATCAAATAATGTTTCCTATCGATAAAATAACTATTAAATATCTCATTAAAAACCATGAAAAATAATCAATTTAATGGTAATTTTTTGATTTTTTTGTAAAGAAGAAAATATGAACAGCTAGGCATATTTATTTTCTTATTCTGCTAATGTTGTTGGCTGGTGCCCTCTATTGCATTGATTTTTACGGTTAGTACGATCGGAATAGCCAACATACACTCGAGTCCTTGAATCTAGAACCTGAGAACATCTCCGTCTGTCAACTATATATCAAATTCAATTGTAACTGTTACTTAACTTATTGATTTTTTGTATATTTATTGGAATATATATTTTACTAATATGGGCAATCAATCATCACAAAGTGAGACAAAATCACATTCCAAAGAATCAGAAATAACTTCTGAACAAAAATCTGCAATAATCGAACAAATAATACAATTATTATCTCCTGTAATAATATCATTACGATATAAAACTTTAAACTATTTAAATCTTTTGAATATTTTAGCTATGTACTGATGATCAATTTCCTCTTTGTATATTTCATCAAAGAACAGATAAAACATCTCATTATCGAATTATCGAAATCTTATCGTCTATAAGACAATCCGATGAATTTCCTAATATTTTAATTAAACTTTATTGGAATGATCGTACAAGTATTTCAAGAGATGGTAAAAATATTTCATTTTACATAAAATAAAATAATATGATATTAAACTTAGATGTAACTAAGCTTTTTCGTGATTGTTGTATGTTTGATTTAAAACAAGCCATGGCAAATAATATTAATCAATTTCAAACAAATATGCTTGATAATGACTGTTTTTTAGCTTTAACAAATAGTATCGGAACAATTAAAAATTTAGAAATTACACCTGAAGAATTTTCTAATTGGATGCGTGTACAATTTCCAACATTATTTTATGGTTTTGAAATGTGGCTTCGTAAGAATTCCGTGTTGAATAAAACTAATAATACAAATCAAGAAATTTCAGCATCGGTATATTATTTTATTTTAAATAATTATTCTTAAATGATCATTTCTGATTTAGAATAATTCAATTATAACAATGAATAATGTTCTTAATCCAACTTGGATTTGGTTATTAACATATCATCTTCCTAATTTATATCTCTCAGCTGATAATACTTGCACAAATTTAGTTGAAAAAATGTCTTCAATCTTAGTAAATTTAGTTTTAAGAAATTTATTTGTTTTTAATTTTTAAATAAATAGCATGGTCGAATGTGGGATCATTTATATGATAGTCATCGAGATGGTTCAAGTTTAAATAGGTATAGAAAATGTTTTTTTCAATAATTTATCCATTATTTTATCGATAGATTTCAACATCATATTTTTGGTTATAAAGCACCAATAATTATTCTATTCGAAATATCAGATGGTTATTTATTTTGTTTATGTTGTGATGAAGAATTTAGGTAAAATAAAAATTTAAAAAAGCCAAAATTCGATTTTCTTCTATAGAGAATCACCAAAACATTTTGGTGGTATTCAATCATGTCTCTTACAATTAAAACCTGTATTTAAAGTTGTTCTCGGTAAATGATAAGATATTTGTTTCATAAATCAACATTTTGTTTTTTAGAGGGTCCAAATATTATTTTTATGAATACGAAATTACGAGGTGTGTCAGCACTTGGTTTATTTATTGGTCGTGATCATACACATACATTCTTGAATATTGATGGTGATTTTTTTAATGTAAAACATATTAATGGCGAAGGTCGTTTAGCTGCTATTGATGTATGGGGTGCGGGAGGTACGAAAAGTGCTGACGAACAAAAGGATATACGTCAATGGGAAAATAAACAAGTTGAAAAAAGTCGAAAGGTAAAAAGATCATATGAAGAAGAAGAAGCTATTTTAAACATGGCTGGAATTGAAACACGTCGTGCACAAGATCAATTTTAAAAACGAAATGACTTTTTTTCCTTTGTTTTATATTCATGTATATTTATAATAACCATGCATAATATATATGTCGATGATCATGACAAATAAAAAACAGCAAACTTAAAATAATTTTATTACTTTTCAGATAGATTTGAATGGCCAATGTTTTTCGTCAATTTTTAGTTGATGTTGAAAATGGAGATGTTGATGCTGTACAAAGAAATATTACAAATGGAATTGATTTAGAAACACGCGATGAAGTAATAACGAAAAAAAAAAGTTTTTTTTTTATTCATTTTCTTTTCTATTTTAAGGATCAACAAACAGCAATTATTTTAGCAGCGCGATGTAATCACTTGGAATGTGTTAAAGTTCTTCTTGAAGCGAATGCTGATGTCAATGCCGAGGATGTGGTAAGATAATATTGTTATCGAATTAACTTGTATATACATCATTTTTATATAGGATAATTGGACTGCTTTATTAAATGCATGTCAAAATGGAAATGTAGAAATTGTACGTAGTCTTATTGAACATGATGCACAAATTGAACATTGTGATTGTGTAAGTTAAGATTATTATTCCAATAAAATAATCGAAAAACAAAATATTATTATCTAGGGACAATTTACACCATTAATGTGGGCATCTTATCAAGGACATTCAAAAATTGTTGAATATCTATTAAGATGTGGTGCTAATGTTGATGCAATTGATCAACATGGAATATCAAGTTTGAGTTGGGCATCAGGCAGAAATTATACTAAAATTGTTGCATTATTACTTCGAGCAGGTGCTTCACCTAATTTATGTGATAAGAATAATACAACACCATTAATTTGGGCTAGTCGAAGTGGTATATATTAATAATTAGATTTTATAGAAAATAAAATCTGAAAACTTTTTTTTCTTCTGTTAGGTTATACAGAAGTAGTCGATTTATTATTAAAATCGAATGCTAGTGTTAATAATATTGGAATGAAAAATATGACAGCTTTATTAGCTGCAACAAAAGGTGGACATAGTGAAACTGCTCTTCGATTATTAGAAAGTCGAGTTATTGATATTAAAATACAAGATAAAGTAAGATAACAATAATAATAAGTTTATATCTATTAACTAATTTGTAAAATAGGATGGACAAACACCATTAAGTCATGCATGTGCACAAGGTCTTACTGATGTTGTTGCCGAACTTATTAAACGTCATGCATATGTTAATACAGTTGATAAAGTACGAATAAAGATTAATAATTTATTTTTTATTTCAAGTATTATTGATTATAGAATGGTGATCCAGTTCTTTTCTTTGCTGTTAAAGGTGGAAAAGAAGATTGTGTTGCACATCTACTTGATAATCATGTTGATATAAATGCTATTGGTTCAGTAAGTATAATTCATCATAATCTATTTATTTATTTATTATAAAATTAAAGGAAAATAAAACAGCTATATGGTGGGCAGTTGAACGAGGTCGACTTGATGTTGTTAAATATTTACTTCAATTTAATCCAGATGTTGAAGTTGGAAGTGGTGAAGATGATGATACACCACTTTTATTAGCTACAAAACGAAAACGTGTTGCTATTGTATATGAACTGATTAGATATGGTGCTAAATTATCATCAACTGATCGAGTAAAACTATTTTCATTCTTTTTTTGTTTTTTTCAATGATTGTTTTTTTTTGTTCTTTAGTATGGAGATAATAGTTTACATATTGCATTACGTAATCGTAGTCGAGATATTGTTGATATTCTTCTTTCAAATCCACGTCATTCAAAATATTTATATCGACCAAATAAACGTGGTGAAACACCATATAAAATTGATGCTAGTCTACAAAAGAGTATTTTAACAACTATTTTTGGACAACGTACATTAAATTTAAATGATGATTCTATTCTTGGTTATGATTTATATTCATCAGCATTAGCAGAAATTTTAAGTGAACCATCCCTTCGAACTCCAATTACCGTCGTAAATATTTATATTTATAATTATTTATTTCAATCTTTTCAAAATCTATAATTTAGGGTTTATATGCAAAATGGGGTAGTGGAAAATCTGCATTATTATCACATTTAAAAGGTAAATTTATTTATATTATATAATATTCAATTCTTTATTTGTTTTTTCTTGTAGACGAAATGTATAGTTTTGCACAACTAACAGATTTTCCCACAATGAAATTTTCTCCATTACTTATCTCAGTTATTATTCTTATGGCATTAACTATTGGTCTTATAACTGGTTTTACAATCCATTATATTGTTGGTATATCACTTGGTGTTGGTTCGATAATTATTTCATTAGCATTTATATATTTTATTCGATATTTTATTCGTCATAAAGATTATCTATGGACAACTAATATAGCACAATTTATAAATAAACGTTTGGAAATTTTAAGATTTTTACTTCAAGTTCTTTTTATGAATCCCTATATGCATCGTCGTTTAAAAACAAATGATACAATTGATTGTCAAAAAATGAAGTAAACAATATAGAAATAGAATTTTCAAGTATATATAAATTATTATTTTAGATTTATTTATACTGAATATGGAAAAGTATCGACAGCTGAAGGTGAAAAAGCAAGTGCTGGTATGATTGCTGAATTAGCAATAAATGTTGAAGAAACATTTGGTGTTGTTGCAACACGTCTTTGTCGTGCACTTCATTCGAAAGGTTCAGATAATAATAAATTTATTTAAATAAAAATTATTTCTCATTTAGATTTAAGTCGTCATCGATTTCGATATATATGTTGCATGCCAGCATTCATGTTTGTTACTATACAAATATCTCTTGTTATAGCATTAACTATTCTAGCTTTGATAAATGGTAAAATTCTATAAGTTTTAATATGAGAATGAATATATTTTTGATTATTCTAGGAATACCGTCGAGTAATCGTTCAGTTAATACAGCTTATATAACATTGATAAGTATACTTAGTGGTTCAATATTACTTAGTTGTGCTACATGGTTACGATTATTATTTGGATTAATGAAATCACCTAAATCAAAAATAATGAAATTTTCAGATAATTCATCACGTCTTAATGAAAGTGCAATTTATCGACTTAAAAAAGAAGTAAATTATATATACTCATTTGAAATATTACATATATATCTAATTTTTAGGTTAGTCAATTGTCATATATCATCAAATGTGTTGAAGCTTTTCTTAGTATTAATACTCGTTTAGTTGTATTAATTGATGGTTTAGATGTTTGTGAACAACAACGAATTCTTCAAATACTTGATGTAAATTAATTAATTAAGTTTATTTATTTTTGAATATATTTTATCTTTTATTTTTAGCAAGTACATGTATTATTAACAAAAGAAAATGATCCATTTATAACATTAATTGTTTGTGATCCACATAAAATGATGCAAGATTTATCAACAGCAATACCAGTAACAACAACAACAACTGCTCAAAATCAAGGTTTTGATACTACTGTTAATGGTCATGATTATTTACGTTCGATTATTCAACTTCCAATTTATTTACAATTAAATCTAAGTAAAACAAAACAATTAAAAAAAAATGCAGATGGATTTCCAAAAAAAAGACAAAATGTTAGTTTTTATTTTCTTCATCAGTATAATTCGAATAATACTTTTTTATAGACTCTTAATTATGGTGCATCGATTCTTGATGTTAGTACCAAACCACCAACAGCAGCAAATAATAATAATAATAAACTTCCAAAAAATAAACGACGTCGACAACGACGAGATACATTACCAAATACTAAACCAGTATAATGAATTAATATATATATATCTTATTTATTCTATTGTATACTAGGTAACATCATCAGAATTAACACATCAATTATTAAAATCTGATTATTTTCTTGATATTAATCCAAGAATTCTTCAACGTCTTATTAATATAATTGGTATGACTGGTCGATTATTACGAGCAAATCAAGTTTTATTTAGTTGGAAGCGTCTTGGATGTTGGTCATATTTAGTAGAACAATGGCCATATCGTATTACATGGATTATCGTTTATTATGAAGATCATGAACTAGAATATCCTGAAGATCCTGTATTAAAAAATCTCTATGATAAGTATGTATCTATTATAAATTGTATCATATAATTTTATATTATTAAATATTTCATATTCAGAATTAAACCATTTATTCCAACAGCAAATGATCCGCTTTTAGAACTAGATCGTAACGGACGTAAATTTGAACTTTGTCTAGAACGTGGTGAACCTACTTTAACTATTACTGATTTAAAACAATTTCTTCCATGTACATGTAATCTTGATCCATATTTAAATAAACTTATTCGAGGTAAATATTTAACTGTTATTTTTTTTTGCAATGAAAATAATATTAATTTTTTACAAAATATTTTCTATTGAATTAGATTCAGCTGCCTATTTTTATATGAATAATACTGATGAAAATGGTTTTATGAATGGAGATCCTTCGAGATTTTTTGGTCGTCGTGATTCCACGTATGTAAAAAAGAATCAAAACTAAAGATGGAATAGGAGATAATATCGTTTAGTTTTCTTTTTCTTTTTGTCTGATTCAGAGATTTTAATCATTGTCATTGTACTAACTGGTAAATCTATAAGAATGGAGGATTATAATCACTACTGCATGAACAGACATACTTTTTCCCCTTAACGTTAATGAAAATATAAGTTGTTTTTTTCTTTCATTGCTATTTTTAGTTTCTCTGGACGTGGTGGATATGTTCCACAAGCATCTATGGGAAGACGTAAGAGTGTTTTACATCCAAGATTTAGTAATGCTGGACCTGATGTTATTGGTATAAATTCAAAAGAAAATTTATTCATTTTTTGTATTTTGATTGCTTTTAGGAAATCAACCTCGTCATTCATTTGATTTTCTATCACATCGTTTATTCTCTCAAATAGCAATGAAAAAACGTGCTGATGATGAAGAAAGTAATGTTCGTACATCATCTATATCATCAACAACAGGACCTATGCCTAATCCATTAATTAATTCCAAAGCAACTACATCTAATGATACATCTGGCAATGTCAAAGTAAAGAAATTACTCATTGTTTATCTTAGACTATTAAATTTCATATATAATTTTCATTTTAAATTAATAGATCGATTTATCATCACCGTTAAGTCAAATGTCTGTGAGTGATGTATGTGATTGTTTAAAGAATGATATTGTTGGTTTGAAAACAGCAATGATATCAGTTTATACACAAGATATTACTGAATATAATCTAAGTGGTCAAGTTTTGACAACATGTGAACTCGATGAACTTAAACAAGTATTGAATTTCTTTTGTTTTAAAAATCCTATTTATATTTGTTTTTCAAAAGGTTCTTTCAATGACATTTGGTGATTGGGTATTATTTAGTAACTGGATTGCAACTAAACGTGAACAAGAACGGTAAAAGAATTATTATTGTCTATAAAGACTTAATTTTTTCTTCCAGACGTTCACGATTTCATATTCAATCGCAGACGTCATCAACAATTAATAATAATCAACAACATCAACATCAACATCAACATCAACAACAACAACAACATATACCAAATAATGATGCTTTTCATGAATATCAATTTTATTCGGAAAATAGTGTACTTGGTGCTGCACTCAATCGATTAATGTCACCAACATCACAAAATACA